GTGGGTAGGAATAGTGCCCATCATTGGTGTCAGTGGGGGAATAGTGTGCCCATCATTGGTGTCAGTGGGAGGAATAGTGCTCCATCACTGGTGTCAGTGGGGGGAGTAGTGCCCCATCACTGGATGTGTCCAGTGGAGGAGTGGCTCCATCAGTGTCAGTGGGAGGAATAGTGCCCCCATCATTGGTATCAGTGGGAGGAATTGTGCCCCATCATGGTGTCAGTGGGAGGAATAGTGCCCCATCATTGGTGTCAGTGGGGGGAGTAGTGCCCCATCATTGGTGTCAGTGGGAGGAATAGTGCCCATCACTGGTGTCAGTGGGGGGAATAGTGCCCCATCACTGGTGTCAGTGGGAAGGAATAGTGCCCCATCACTGGTGTCAGTGGGAGGAATAGTGCCACATCATTGGTGTCAGTGGGAGGAATAGTGCCCCATCATTGATGTCAGTGGTGGAGGGGGAGATAGTGCCCCATCATTGGGGTCGTGGGGGGGGGAGAATAGTTGCCCCATCGTTGGTGTGGTCAGTGGGGGAGGAATAGTGCCACATCGTTGGTGTCAGTTGGGAGGAATAGTGCCCATCGTTGGTGTCAGTGGGGGGAGGAATAGTGCCCCATCATTGGTGTCAGTGGGGAGGAATAGTGCCCCATCATTGGTGTCAGTGGGAGGAATAGTGCCCCATCATTGGTTGTCAGTGGGGAGGAATTAGTGCCCCATCATTGGTGTCACTGGGAGGAATAGTGCCCCATCATTGGTGTCAGTGGGAGGAATAGTGCCCCATCATTGGTGTCAGTGGGAGGAATAGTGCCCCATCATTGTGGTCAGTGGGAGGAATAGTGCCCCATCATTGGTGTCAGTGGGAGGAATAGTGCCCCATCATTGGTGTCAGTGGGAGGAATAGTGCCCCCAATCATTTGTGTCAGTGGGAGGAATAGTGCCCCATCATTGGTGTCAGTGGGTGGGAGTAGTGCCCCATCATTGGTGTCAGTGGGGGGAATAGTGCTCCATCATGGTGTCAGTGGGGGAGGGAACGTAGTGCCCCACTGGTGTCAGTGGGAGGAGTAGTGCTCCATCACTGGTGTCAGTGGGAGGAATAGTGCCCATCATTGGTATCAGTGGGAGGAATTGTGCCCCATCACTGGTGTCAGTGGGAGGAATAGTGTCCCATCATTGGTGTCAGTGGGGGAGTAGTGCCCCATCATTGGTGTCAGTGGGAGGAATAGTGCCCATCATTGGTGTCAGTGGGGGGAGTAGTGCCCCATCATGGTGTCAGTGGGAGGAATAGTGCCCCATCACTGGTGTCAGTGGGAGGATAGTGCCACCTCATTGGTGTCAGTGGGAGGAATAGTGCCCCATCATTGATGTCAGTGGGTGGAGGGGAGAATAGTGCCCCATCATTGGGGTCGGGGGGGGGGGGGAATAATAGTGCCCCATCGTTGGTGTCAGTGGGGGGAGGAATAGTGCCCAACATCGTTGGTGTCAGTGGGGGGAGGAATAGTGCCCCATCGTTGGTGTCAGTGGGGGGAGGAATAGTGCCCCATCGTTGGTGTCAGTGGGAGGAATAGTGCCCCATCATTGGTGTCAGTGGGAGGAATAGTGCCCATCATTGGTGTCAGTGGGAGGAATAGTGCCCCATCATTGGTGTCACTGGGAGGAATAGTGCCCCATCATTGGTGTCAGTGGGAGGAATAGTGCCCCATCATTGGTGTCAGTGGGAGGAATAGTGCCCCATCATTGGTGTCAGTGGGAGGATAGTGCCCCATCATTGGTGTCAGTGGGAGGAATAGTGCCCCATCATTGGTGTCAGTGGGAGGAATAGTGCCCCATCATTGGTGTCAGTGGGAGGAATAGTGCCCCATCATTGGTGTCAGTGGGGGGAATAGTAGTGCCCATCATTGGTGTCAGTGGGAGGAATAGTGCTCCATCATTGGTGTCAGTGGGAGGAGTAGTGCCCCATCACTGGTGTCAGTGGGAGGAATAGTGCTCCATCACTGGTGTCAGTGGGAGGAATAGTGCCACCATCATTGGTATCAGTGGGAGGAATTGTGCCCCATCATTGGTGTCAGTGGGAGGAATAGTGTCCCATCATTGGTGTCAGTGGGGGAGAATAGTGCCCCATCATTGGTGTCAGTGGGAGGAATAGTGCCCCATCATTGGTGTCAGTGGGGGGGAGAGTAGTGCCCCATCACTGGTGTCAGTGGGAGGAATAGTGCCCCATCATTGGTGTCAGTGGGAGGAATAGTGCCACATCATTGGTGTCAGTGGGTGGAATAGTGCCCCCATCATTGATGTCAGTGTGGTGGAGGGGAGAATAGTGCCCCATCATTGGGGGTCGGGGGGGGGGGGAAATAGTGCCCCATCGTTGGTGTCAGTGGGGGGAGGAATAGTGCCACATCGTTGGTGTCAGTGGGGGGAGGAATAGTGCCCCATCGTTGGTGTCAGTGGGGGGAGGAATAGTGCCCCATCGTTGGTGTCAGTGGGGGAGGAATAGTGCCCATCATTGGTATTAGTGACACAAATGTGGGGCACTATTCCTCCCACTGACACCAATGATACTTACCTTGCTGACCACCTGCTCCAGCCTGGGCTCGCTCTCTCAACTTACCTGTCAGCTGTCTTCCTTCTCTGGCCGCTCTCCTCTTCACTTGCTCCGGCAGCTCCCTCGATCTTCTTTGATGTACGCGCGCTGCCGCTCAGGCTCCTCCTCTCCAAGCTCCACCTCCTCGCCGGTGATTGGCCGCCTGTGTGCCTCCTGAGCTACAGTTCCGGTGGCCAATCAGCGGCGAGGAGGCGGAGCTGCTGAGCGATCCCGGAGGTGTGGCCAGGTGACAGGAGCAGCGTATCATCCCGCCCACACATTGCCTGAGACAGAGGAGCGGTGTCTCGGTTCCTAAGACCATCGGAAATATGTGTTTTCCGATGGTCTTAGGCGACCCCCTGGGAAATGGTCGTTCGACCCCCAAAGGGGTCGCGACCCCCAGGTTGAGAACCGCTGCTCTAGATGCATGCAGCCTACATCCAGGGCTGGCCAGCAGTCCTAATCGCATGAAATCGCTCTTACAGTGCCGACTTCTACAGGGAGCAATTCTGGCCACTGTGACTGCTGGCTGCACCAGTTCATGCATCTTGGCTGAAGATTCTTTCCAGTGAAGAAGTTAATCAGTCATCCGAATGAAGCCTAAGGCTAGGTTCACAATCTGTGCGGGTGGTGCCCGCTGCAGATCCGCATGAAAATCCTCGCAGCCGCACTACCTGCACAGAGAAATGCGGACCTGCAGACGGGTGCCACTAGTTCTAATGGCACGCCACCCACGCTAGAAAAACACAACCATACCGGGAACCGAGGTTCCCTTGCGGGCTGCGTTTTCAAAAGAACTGCAGGGACTTCTTCCCTGGGTGTCACAGGGCACGGGAGTCCATTCACATGAATGGGCTCTCGTGCCCGCACAAAATCCGGCCCACACGGTCACATATATGTGAACCGGGGCTAAGTGCTCGGTCATACCGGTGCAATAACAGGTGCGATTTGGGAATTGAAATCGCACCTGAAATTGTATCAAATGAATGTGACTGTCAGTGTCTTAACATTTGCAATTTGTTACAGTGCGATTTCTAAAGTAATTCTTGCATTACTTACTAAAATTGTAAAAAAATAAATAAAATGGTAAAAAATCATAAAAAAATAAAATAACAAAAAATAAAAAACTACTGACACCAGCTGTGGAACTACTAGGGTTGCAAAGGTCACACCTGCAAAAGAGCCCTGGCATTCCGCCACTGTGGGGGAGGGGGGCCGAGACAGCAGAAGGGGGCCCTGCTGTAGAACATTAGAAAGGGTCCCGCTGCTGAACCATATCAAAGGGCCCCACGACAGGAGTAAAGGGCCTCGGTATCAGTTGGGAAATGCCCCTGCTTGGAGTCAGGGGGGGGCCCCTGCACTGGGGCCCTGAAGGTTATAGTAACTCCTCTTCAAAGCACACCAAGATATAAGTAAGAATGCCCAAAATTTAGACAATACTTACTCATCCTGAAGTTCAGCAAAAATAATTCAATCATCAGATTTGGGTGGAAAGGTGGTCAGGCAGGTTTTCTCATACAATAATGAGAAACAATACCCTTGAGTCCTCATGCACACTGGACATTTTGAGTCTTCATGCACACGGGACGTGTTTTGAGTCCTCATGCTCATGTGACGTGTTGAGTCCTTATGCACACGGGACGTGTTGAGTCCTTATGCACACGGGACGTGTTTGAGTCCTTATGCACACGGGACGTTTTGTGTCCTTATGCACACGGGACGCTTTGAGTCCCTATGCACACGGGACGCTTTGAGTCCTTATGCACACGGGACGTTTTGAGTCCTTATGCACACGGGACGTGTTAAGTCCTTATGCACACGGGACGTTTTGAGTCCTTATGCACACGGGACGCTTTGAGTCCTTATGCACACGGGACGCTTTGAGTCCTTATACACACGGGACGCTTTGAGTCCTTATGCACACGGGACGCTTTGAGTCCTTATGCCACATGGGACGCTTTGAGTCCTTATGCACATGGGATACGTGTTGAGTCCTTATGCACACGGGACGCTTTGAGTCCTTATGCACACAGGATGTGTTGAGTCCTTATGCACACGGGACGTTTTGAGTCCTTATGCACATGGGACATTTTGAGTCCTTATGCACATGGGACGTTTTGATAATGCTGTTAACGTTAGATGTGTAAAGTTCACGTTAAACATTTGAGTTTTTCAGCTTTTTTTTGTTTTTGCATTAGCACTTAGTGGTGTTTTGACCACGTTTAGTGGGTGTTTTCCTGCACTTTTCCTAGCTTTTTTTGGGTAAAAAAGTCAAAAAACACCGGTTTGCTGCGTTTTAGCGCGTTTTGCTGCATTTTTCAGCGTTAGAATGTTTTTTAACAGCTAAAAAACTCCTCTAGAAACCCACTAGTCCTGGATTTTTTTTTATTCCCAGCCAAAAAAACGCTGACTCCAGTCTATGTGTGTATGGACACATAGGATAACATGCGGGGATGGGACACATAGGATAACATGCCGGATATGGGGACACATAGGAGAACATGCCGGGGATGGACACATAGGATAACATGCCGGATATGGACACATAGGATAACATGCCGGGGTTGATGACACATAGGATAACATGCCGGATATGGACACATAGGATAACATGCCGGGGATGGACACATAGGAGAACATGCCGGGGATGGACACATAGGAGAACATGCTGGGGATGGACACATAGGAGAACATGCCGGGGATGGACACATAGGAGAAACATGCTGGGGATCGGACACATAGGAGAACATGCCCGGGGACGGACACATAGGATAACATGCAGGGGATGGACACATAGGAGAAACATGCTGGGATGGACACACATAGGAGAACATGCCGGGGGATGGACACATAGGATAACATGCCGGGGTTCATGGACACATAGGATAACATGCTGGGGGGGTTTACTGGCTCTAGAAGAAACATCAAAAGCCTAAAAACAGCCGCTGTAACAACGTCCAGTGTGCATGAGGACTTACAGTTGTGGAACCAAAATTATTCAACCCCATGAAATGTTGTTTTGGCCAGTTTGACATTGATTTTGATCATTCAAGTCATCTTGCTTACAATTTACATTAAAGATGGCACTTGTAGGTCAGACATAT